TGCTTCTCAGGCCTGGGGGTCATTGGCCTGTCTAAGTGTCATCCTCCCTTGAGACCCTGCCCCCTTCACCTGGTTGGTAACTCACCTGTCCCCTCCCCTTCCTCTGTCCCTGAGCTTATAAAGTTAATGAGACCATGCGGCCGGCATTCTGTTACCAGCAGTAGCCCAGTGCAGATGCCTCTGTACCAATGGAATAAACATCTGGCTACCTTCTAGCAGAATCGACTCCCTTTCTCTCCACCATCGCCAGAAGCTCTCCCCTGAGGTAAACGGAGTCCTGTCTTGTGCCCCGCTGCACTCTGCCGCCAGCCAAGGTATCTCTGGGGTAAAACACCACAGTGCTGCCTCTGGCCAAGCAGCGAAGGTCAGAACTGGCCTAGGCACCATCTAACTGGTTATATTGGGATACATATTCCAATACATAGATTATTTCAATCAAGCTGAAAAACTTAACTAAAAGGAAAAAAGAAGAAAATCAAGGCTCCAGTAAACTACTGCTCCCCACAAAAATCACACCTGCTATTGTGTGCTGAATAACAAGTCTGTTTTTTGGTTGGTTTGGTGCCCCTGCTCCCAACAGAATTCTTAAGTTTACTGAGCCTCATGCTACACCTTTCTTTTGCTTTATTGTGCCTCCAACACACTTCCAACTCTCTGCTGCATAAATTACATTGTTTGAATTAATTTAAAATTCAAGCAGGTATCCTGAGTTCTCTTCAATATTTGATTTAGGTCTCACTCACTTCAGTGGAAATTATTCAAACCTACTAAATTCTAAACACTTATTCAAAATTAACAGGACATAACCCAACTTTTGTTCAAAAAATATGGTATGGAGGACATTTATGCTGCTCAAAGTTACAAGCAGATATTCATAGGATACTTTTACATTATCAAGTTGCAGTTTTGACCTTTCTTTTCTTCATTACACAGATTCATAACATCCTGGCAGCAGTTCCAATCCTCTGATCATTGCTACCTATTTTTCCTCTCACTAGCATAACTAACATGCTGAGGCTTCCTCATTTTCAAAGACACAAAATGTGATTTTGTTCTTATCTCTGCCAGTCACAAGTATCTCCTGGCTATCTTTGTCTATTTACTTTCTAAAGCATCAGTGTATAAGATATTTGGTCCCTGCTTTTCCAGATTTTTTGATTTCTAGTTCCTGCCTTTGTTCTCATCTTATCACAGGGGTTCCATACCATTGTCTCCTTATCACAAAAGTTCCATACCTGCTTGGTGTTTCTCGTGAGCAGCTCCTCAGAGCACTGACTCTCTATTCTTCACAAAGCCACCCCCTGACTCCAATTCCCACCTCACCCACCCACCCCACTCTTTTATAGCACTCTTCTTCCCATTGGTTACAGCTGTGGCCTGGTACAGTCAGGCCTGCTTCTAATCTTTAATAATTAACCCAGCTGCAACTCCTTAGGGGTAAGATTACCTTCTACACTATCTTTATTTTCTTATATTCTATCCTACTACATAGCTTCACTTCTTTTCCAGCAGAACATACTTTTTGCCTTTTTTTTTTTCCTTTTGCAGTCATATATTTGAAACATCACTGTGGCATCTTTTTTTTTTTTTGTGTAGTAGATTATTTGGTCAATCCTTTTTCTCACAGGTCACTTTGAATACATTTTTCTCTGCTTTCAGAAAACAGGCTTTTGAATTTCTTTATATTAAAATCAAATCACCTGTACTGGAGTCCATTCCCTGTTGAGCTCTCCAACATTAGTTACAAACATTCATTGACACCTTTTCTTTGTAAGTATTCAAGGTCTCCCTCCTCATACAACCCTTGTTTAATCTCCTGTCCTTCTCCCCAGTTTAGGATTTCAGAGAAGTTCATGTCTGATCACATTGCCTCCACATTTCACAACAATCCCAGCAGACAGGGAAGCTCAGCTGCCATGCTCAGCATGGCAATAACTTTGGTGGCAATCCAAGACCTGACTTGCAGCTGTGTCTTCTGCAATCCAGAGGCAGATGTCATTTATACATTTTTGTCCCATCATGCTGTTTGAGACACTGAGATGAAAAGAAGAAGTGTACATAACATTTCAGCTGATCTTTGCAATCAGGTCTAAGCTCTGATTAAGTGGAAGAATGGAAGATAAATTAAAAACATGATGAAAGCTAGACCACATTTTTCATTTACCTATCACTTGTAAAAATACAGACAGTAATCAGCAGACTTTTTTGAGGGAAAAAATAAAAAGTAAATTCTACTCTTGTGTTTTTTCAGAAGTGTTAGTAATTTCAACAAGTTTCTTCTGTCCCTTGCAGAGCCTCCCCAAAACCTTCTGACTGTGTAGAGGAAAGGGAGGTCAGCCTTTCTGGGCTGCTGTTTGCCAGTGCAGACACTACTTTTTCCCAGACAAATGAGACAAAGTATGTAATCCATCCTGGACCAGTTCTCTAGCACTGGATGGGAACCCCTCCCCCAGAACTTTGAAGTCTGGGATCAAACCCTTCCACAGTGTATCTACCTCAGAAACAAAGAAACAGGATGTGTTTTTTCTCTTCTGCAAAGTGCTTGCAAGACCCATCAGGTAATTGAGTCGGTTTCTGTTACTTTTTCCCCCCCTCTTTTATTGTTTGTCCTTCACAATCATCTCCTCTAAAAGGAAAGATCATCAAATCCATTGTCTACTTTTTAGAAAAATGTTAGTCCAGCTGTATTAGCCTGTCCTAGTTACACCTTCTCCAAGTTCCAATCCACAGTTTTCATCTTTCTGGTACCCATCTTCCATTTTTTACTTTTACTCTAAAACAACTCCAGTATTAACAGAAGTGAATTTAGCACACTCCTCCTATGAAGAAAGTACCAATGGCAAGTTTGTTCATAAGGAGAAAATTCTTCTCTTATTTTCAACCTTTTAAAAAACGAAAATTTATTTTCTATCAGGAAAACAAAAAACAGCTAATGCAGGTAAGGCTCCCCACCACTGCCTTTTTACCATTACCAGAATCAAATGTTACCATTAATACAAACAAACAGAACCAAAACAAAGCAACACTGATCTGACAAGTAGTCACCAGAAGCAGCAGTTCATCTGTATTTGTTGTTGTTAACTTTTCCTGACAGTGAGATATTTCTCAGTATTGACAAATTCCTACCACAGCCAACAAATCCATGGCTCTCTCATGCACAAGTCAACAAAAGGATACAGAATAATAAACAACAATGATGATCTAATAGAGGATACTGCTAATTGCAGAGACTCCTAGGAACTAGGAGAGGAATGTTTTTGTACAATATGCAGTCACAAGTGAAGAACAGGAACACAGGAAGCTGAGCTGCATGAAGTGTGTCTCCACTGAACTTACACTTATGAGCCTTGAGGCCTTCAAATGACACAGGTCCATACTCGTAGTACTCGTAGTCCCAGGTGTAATCAGAGTTGGACAAGGCCTGCTGGGAGGTCCTGTTAGAGATCAGCCTCAGGGCAGACATCCTGCACCTCAGCAAATACAGACCTGTGGAGATGAAATGTGTTAATGGAGATACACCTAGCACAGCTTTTGGGGTTTTGCTCTTTCTCATCTATCGGATCACTTCCCCACCCCTGCTCCCAAGAGCAGCCGCTGCCTCTTCAGACAAGGCTGCCCCATCCCCTCGCCTTCCTTCCCCTAACTGCAGACACACACTCTGGGCCCAGAGAAAGGCAACCAAGATGTTTAGGGAGCTGAGGCACAAAGGGCTTGTTCAGCCTGGAGAGGGGACAGCTGCAGGGAGACCTCAGGGCTGTCTTCACTCAGAGGGTGCAGAGATGCCACTGCCAGGCTCCTCTCAGAGGTGTACAGTGAGAGGACAAGAAGGAATGGACAAAAATTGGGCAACAAGAAATTCATATTAGATAAAAGGAAAAGCTTACCTGAGCTAGTCAAACATGCTTTGAGTAGGAGGTTGGACCAGATGACCACCAGGGGTCCCTTCCAACCTAAATTTCTCTATGCTGATAAACAGGCTCAATATGCCACTACAGAAGGAAAAGAAAACAGGAGTGGTTTCCCTCACAGATTAGCAAAAAACTGCAAAACAACACTGAGCATGATGAAATTATCTTGATAGATATCTCTGTCATTACCACCATTCTCTACTGGAGTCTTGCATTTTGCAGAGTAATTTTTTCCAGAACATGAGACAGTTTTATGCACGCCAAAAGAAAGCACATCTCTGCACAAAACGTGCTGCAGTAGCTGGAGTCAGGAAACCCAAATTGAAACATATTTCAAAATACTTTTTGTGAGAGCAAGCTGAGCTTTGGGTAATTCTGGATTCAATTAAAACCCAGCAGGATTGACTAACGCTTCATGTGCTAGGAGAGAACAAAAGATCAGGCACAAAATAAGAAACACTTTCACTCAGGTAATATGAACAGCATTTGAAATTTGTAAAATAGTTCTTTCAGCAGCTGTTTTACCATGACCAAATGCTGGCAGTAATGCCTCAAAGCAATTTTAAATAAGTAGCATACCTGAAAAAGTAAACTTCACACTTAAATACAATGTTCAGAACTTTAAACACATGCCAAAAAACTTGACTGGCAAGTTATAAATCTTTTAAAACAATAAATGAATCTATTTTTCAACCCAAACCAACTGAGTTTTCAGAATGAGCAACCTGACAGCAGGAAAGGTGAAGTGGTGGGCTGGGGAGAGAAGTGACCAACCCCATTCTCGGATCAGGATAAGAAGCTTCGCCACATTATCCTCACCCTCCCCTTAGCCATTTAGAAAGCCTCCAGCATTATCAAATAGTCTGAAGCAAAGAGGAGAAGGAAAAAAAACATGGATATCACTGAGAGTGCAGTTCATGGCTGAGGATGTTTCCCATCTTGTACTTCCAACCCTTTCAAAATGGACAGAGAGGAAGCGGTAAGTCTAACTAAAAGTGCCTGTGTTGTAACAGTAAAGTTCTTCCTAGGTTTTTCCATTTCTTCAAATTAAAGAGAGAATGTCTGATTAAGCTTTAGACAGAAGCTTTCTTATTTTAATCAACTAAAGCAACAGCTGCCTCTGGGAGAAGGAGGTGGCACAGAGAAGACCCTAGGATCCCTGTCCTGGTTTGCTCCCATCTCAGCTCTGCCAGTTGCTTGTTACAAGACTCTGTGTTTTGTTTTGTGACAAAACATGGAGCCACACAGGGTTCCCACCATTTTTTTCCCCCTTCTCCTCAAAGTTTTGTTGATGACATGTCTCTTGACAACATTAGTCCTGTTTAAAGGCTGTTTTTCTTTTTTATAACTTTCCAATGAAGCATTTCATTTCAATATTCCTCACATGGCATCAATAATGGCCATTGTCTCCTCCCTCAATTTATTATTGCAAAAAGAGCTGAAATCCACTTGTAGAAAACTTCAGAATAGAGTATGGGAACAATCTGAAAAATGTTGTTTCTTCCACCTTAAGTGTTTCTTCCCACCTCAAAGCAGATGGGATTCACTGGGCCACACGCAGAGCTCTCTCCTACTCTGGTCACTAGTGTCCATTTATGATTTATGGGGAGGATAGCCACTTCCAAGACACAAAGAATCTGTGTCCTAATAGCATTAGGTTAGGATTAGAAGCTCCAGCCTTTCACCACTGACTGCATGCATGTGGAGACTTGCTTTCACTGTAGACAAGCCACTGTCAGAGGGAGAGGTGCTAACAAGAGCTGATTCACCAGCTCTCTGGCTAATCTGGGCTTTGAAGGACATATAAATATGCTTCTAAAGCAACCAGCAGGGCTAAGCATGAGCACTGCTCCAAACCTACTTTCAGCTCACTTGTAAGATTTGTCTGTCTGAATAGCTCCAAAAACTCAGCCTCAACCATGTGAAAAGCTTTTATTCTACTTGAAAATCCAGTCTAGCATGGTGGTACAAGGACCAGCACAGTGCAAGAGATGCCTATTTAGACCTTGCATCTCCTGGGAAGAGCAAGGCAGGCTGAGCTGGCACAGTAGCAGCCTCTCAGGGGCATCTGCCTGGCTGCAGCAGGTCATGCAGGCCTTCAGGTAAGAGGTAAGAGCTTTTAAGAAGGAATTCCTCCAGGAGATGCTCTCAGACACTCTTCTGTGAGACACAGAGAGCCATGACTCATCCCACAGCTCTGGAGCCTCACAGCGACCTCCTCTCACTTGGCTGAGGGTTTTTCTGGAAGGTACAGGAGCCTTTTGAGGCAAACATGAAAGCCCCTCTATTGATTTTGATGTGTATGGATGCAGCCAGGCTTTCCTCACTCCAGCTCTCTTCTTTCAGGAGCAAGTCAGAAACAAAAAGCTTCACTTTGATTATTTGAGAAACCCCAAGGCAGGACTTGTGTTCAGTGCTGCCAAGCAGAAATTTAGGCAGGTCTGCATCCTAAAAAGGGCAAGTGCTGAGGGTTTTCTTCTGAAGCATTGGGTTGCTCTCTGCAGATAAATGTAACCAGATGTTCCCCATGGAGACCCAACTGCAACTCTTGGAGCTGAATTATGCCTTCATGAGAACTGGTTTATAATCTGTATGAAAGTCTGTAAGGTCTCAGCTGGCCTGACAGCTGCCAGTGGCACCTGGGCAAGCTAGTCTGGCTGTCTGTGTTTGCATAAATCCCATGCCCTTGCACAGCAGCAGGATATCAAACTCCATGCTGCTGGACTATTTTCTCCAATCTGAACATCACTGATACATTGCATGAGGCTCTCAGCCACTTACCTTTCAAAATGAAAGCAAAACTGAACACAAACCACATCTGCAACACAACTTCATGGCTTCCAGCACTGAGACCACAAAGGTATATCTGGTTTTGTGTAAGTCTGAAACTGTCCTTGTAACCTGCAGCAATTCCCTCCAAAGCTGACCTGCATGCACAAAAATAAACAAAAAAATGTGTATTGTTAATGTACTGTTTGCTTCTGGAGCAAGAGAAACTACCAGTATGGTAGACACACAGAGCTTGGTGAATTTTCAGTCACAAACTACATCTATTTTCCACATATTTCTGCTCTGCTTAGTGCCACAGATTCTAAGCACTCAGTGGTTTTCAAAAGAAAAAATGAACAAACCATTGCCTGCTTGCAAACTGAAGATCCCAAGGCCCACACAGGGGAAAAAGAAGGAACATTTCAAACTGTGGGAAGTCCCAGGCTGAGAAAGCTTAGCACTACACCCTGGTGCATCAGCTGGGCAGTACAGTTAACCCAGAAGTTGTAGGCAATGAGAAATTAACAATTCAGGCTGTTCCCATATCTTTGTGTTCTCATGCCAGCACCAACATTGTGCATGAGGGAAAAGGGAGTCAGCCACCCCCACATTCCTTTTTACTCCATCCCAAAGACCAGGAGGTGAAGCCACAGAAAAAAACAAAGGAGAAAACCAACCACAAACGTATGTACACTGCTGCACTGCATCAGCTGAAAAGCAACACAGACCCCATCTTTCTACAGCCCTGCCACGTGGCTTTGAACAAGCTGTGCTGCTCCCAAGCACAGACAGCAAAGTCTGCAGGAAACACTCACTTAAGGGTCCTTGTTTCTTGCTAATTCTCAGTACCCTAGGTGTGCAGGGTTTGAGTTCAAATTTGTGATCTTTTCAAGGGAATACCCAATTCCACCTGCAATAAAAGAGAAGAAAGAAAGCAACAAAAATGAGTTAAATTTAGGGAAAAAAAAAAAGAAGAAAGATACCTGAAAACTGACTTTACAATTAAAAATCAATCATGAATGCCAACTCTGATACCTAAGTCTTTTCTTGGAGAAAAAAGAAAGTACAATGTTAACTGTGGTTATGTTTGTTACTCATGTTCATGAACAGCAAGGTCTGAGTTGCTGCACTAAAGTAACAAGAATAATGTTGGATTCTCCACAAAAGGAGTTAATAACAATGGAAAGGAAAAAAGCTGGTTTAGTCACTGCTTAAACTGTGAACTAAGGATGAGGGGTTACAGTTACAGACATCTGTGCCTCACACCACCATATTACACATCATATAAAATGCATTTTATTATCCTATAACTGTGCAATGTAAACAACAACAAACTTCTCTTATGCACCCCACACAAACTCCACACCATTATATACAATTTGCTTGCTAACTGTATAGCTGCTGTTTCTACCTAGTTAAAAAAGGATGACATTTTGACTTCAAAGTGAAATTTAATAAAGGCTAAAGAGATTTGCCAACTATTTTCCTACAGACAGTAACAATATAATCAAATAATAATGCCCACTTAGCAGTCCAACTCAGTAGGTGCCACCTGGAAGTTAAGGCAGAAACTAATATGAAATGATACCATGCTGAGTTCACTGACAACTGTGTGGTTCTAAAAATGAATAAAGCAAATACTACACAAGCCCACTCATTAGCCTTGTCTGAGAAGGCAGATGAATTATACCTAACATGGTATCACAGAACAACTGCATTCCTCTTTCTCTTAAAAGTTTCAAGCCTGCACTGACAGTAAAGGGACATGGAACTGTTAGTAGAGAGCTGCTGGGACTTGTTCCCAAAACACACTGAAACTTAGCTTAACTCCAGTACCAAAAGCCTTATATACTGCAGCCAGTCTTAAGTGACAGCATTTTCTAAAGTATTAAAGATTAGCCATAATTCCATTTATTTCCTGCATCTAGGGCAGGATTACACCAACAGTACTGAGCCTATTTTCCTCTCCCCACTAAAAGCCAACCTCCTCTTAGATGTGCAGGTATGGAAGCCTCAAAGCCAAGCTCCCTCACTACCAACCAGACCAGAAGAAGCCCTATCAGTAAGCATTAAAGCACAGACCCTTGTTCAGTCCTATAATGTTATAAATGCTGACATCAATAGTATATATACATATATTCAACACTTCCCAAGAGAAAGGCTGCCTTTCCCTTAGCTATTTATAATAATGCCTATTTTAA